CTAGCCTTGAGCTGAAGAGTTGAAGGACAGCACCCAGGCCCAGAGTTCAGGCCCCATGACCAACAACAACAACAAAAAACCATATTTGAACAAATATGTTCTAAATACCAGAATGAATCCCTTTTGTACAAAAGACTACATGAAGAAAGTGGTAACATTTTTTCCAATTTCAAAAATATAGTGTATATTCGGTATATTTGAAAGATACATAATTACACAAATAAAATACAGATAATCTGTAAATGAATACTCTTCACCTTTTTTTTTTTTTGGCGAGTCCTGGGGGCTTGAACTCAGGTCCTGGGCACTGTCCCTCAGCTCTTCAGCTCAAGGTGAGTGTTCTACCACTTGAGCCACAGCACCACTTCCATACTTCTGGCTTTTTTCTGTGTGTGGTACTGAGGAATTGAACCCAGGGCCTCATGCATGCTAGGTGAACACTCTACCACTGAACCACATTCCCATCCTACTCTTCACCTTTTGTTGTTTCTGCTTTCAGTTGTTTCACATTCATAAAAGATCGGTGGAAATACTAGACAGGAGTTAGGATGTTTGATTTGTACTAACATGGTTCAAGGCCAGATTAGGCAAAAATAAAGAAAATAAAAATATAAGGCTAGGAGCCAGTCATTCATATCTATAATCTTAGGACGCTAAGATCTAAGGATTGAAGTTTGAAGCCCCCCAGGCAATGAATACTTTTTTCTTTTTATCAGTCCTCGGGCTTCAACTCAGGACCTGGGCACTGTCCTTGTGCTTCTTTTTAGCTCAAGGCTAGCACTCTACCATTTGAGCCATAGCATCCCTTTTTCTGTTTATGTGATACTGGGGAATTGAACCTAGGGCTTCACATGTGCTAGGCAAGCATTTTACCACTGAGCCACCTTCCCAGCCCAAAGAATACTTTGTGTTTATAAAATAAATATGTGTTAACAAAAGCATTTTCCCTTCAGAAGAAAGTCACCCTATATGCTACTTTTTCAAACATATGAACTCATAATTTAAACTTTAAAATAAGATTATTTTTGTTGTTGGGTGCCATGGCTCACACCTGTAATCCTATCTACTCAGGAGGCTGAGATCTGATGATCATGGTTCAAAGCCAGCCTGGGCAGGAAAGCCCATGAGACGCTTATCTCCAATAAACCATCAGAAAACCAGAAGTGGTGCTGTGGCTCAAGTGGTAGAGTGCTAGCCTTGTGCTGAAGACAGCACCCAGGCCCAGAGTTGAAGCGCTGAAGACAGCACCCAGGCCCAGAGTTGAAGTTCCATGACTGACAAAAAAAAATAATTTTTGTTTAGTTGTATAGATTATAGATTATATCAGATACTAAAGGTCATGCACATGGCAAATGGGACTCTCTGGATATTAGAATCAGTGAATATGCAATGCCTACCCATTTTAAAAAATATTTTTCCTGTGAAACATAGTTTTACATAGGTTTCCTTGGTGTCTTGTCTTTTGGCAATCAAAGAAAAGAAAAGGAAAAGAAAGACTGAGCGTTTGTCTGACAAGTACTTTGTAGTGCTCTGCAGAACCTGAGTCCAAACTCCCCAGGTTCATTCTTCACTTCCATGGTCTTTCTTCATTTATGTTACCTAAAACTCACCTAAAGAGATTGGTAATTATCTACTAGCCAGTTACCTCTAGCAATACTAAAATCCATTAATAACCACATATGCATTACATTTTCCTCAGGATAGGAATTCTAGGTCCTAGAAAAAGAGAGGGCAAAAGAGAGATGTGAAACTTGAGAGCATACCTCCAAGTTCCTTATGATGTTCTAGGCAGATATTGTTTTCCTTCTTTTTTTTTTTTTTTTGGGTCCGGTTGTGGGGCCTGAACTCTGGGCCTGGGCGCTGTCCCTCAGCTCTTCAGCTCAAGGCTAGCGCTCTACCACTTGAGCCACAACGCCACTTCCGGCTTTTTTCTTTTTGCTTATGTGGTGCTGAGGAATTGGACCCAGGGCCTCAGGCATGCAAGGCAAGTGCTCTACCAGTGAGCCATCTTCCCAGCCCCATTGTTTTCCTTCTTGAGAATCAAAAAACTTCCCTAAAACCCTGAAATCGAATAACATTCTGATTTTAGAGTAAGAGAAAGGGGCACAGAAAGCTCAGGTAATTTAATGTAATTCACTGAGGTGTTTCTTATCTCCAGGATCATTTTGACCTTAGAATGGCTTTGTTTGAGGCTGAAGATGGAGATGGAATGTCAGGGAATGCTCCCGACACTATTGCAGGCCTCTGTGGCTGCCCTGGGAAGTGAACCTGCCTTGTAGGAAGATGTGGAGGCAAGGGAGATGGAAGACCATGCCTGTTTCCCTAAGGGTCTTTGTTCCAAATCTCCTAAGAATTCTGTACTAGAACAACGGGTTTTTTTATTGCTGAATCTTTTAGGCTAGGATGGTAGTGCCTGCTTTGTGCACCAAGGCCACTTGTATGCAGCTCTCTCTTCCCTGATAATCGTCCATGTTCTCCGTGTGTGTGTGTGTGTGTGTGTGTGTGTGTGTGTGTGTGTGTGTGTGTGCATGTGCGTGTGCGCGCGCCAGTCTTGAGTGGTTGCTTGTTTTTTTGCTCAAGGCTGGTGTTCTTCCACTTGAGCCACAGCTCTATTTTTGGCTTTTTGGTGGGTAATTGGAGATAAGAGTCTCATCTTCACATCTCAGTGCCCAAAGTTTCTAGAATTATGGGCTTGAGTACCTGGTCCATGTTCTCTTATTGGTGATTTATTGGTGATTCTTTTTTTTTTGTTAGTTGTAGGGCTTAAACTCTGGGCCTGGACGCTGTCGTTAGCTCTTCAGGTCAAGACAAGGGCTCTATCACTTGAGCCACAGCGCCAGTTCCGGTTTTCTAGTGGTTTTATTGGAGATAAAAGTCTTATGGACTTTCCTGCCCAGGCTGACTTTGAATCATGATCCTCAGATCTCAACTTCCTGACTAGCTAGGATTGTAGGCATCCCACTTAATGAAGATTCTAAGGGTCTTTGTTATCTTTTTGAAGACCTCCATTGTAGCAAGTTTTTCTCCCACATGGTGTACTATGACTGACTCTTGTTTCCATACATTATAGATGTTTTGGGAAGAATTATTAAAATTATATTAATCAAACATAGTAATAATTATTAAATTATTAAGGCATAGAACCATATGTGTACAAACTATACATAAGCCACAGTGTTTGCATAGTAATCGTGCTGGTGGACACCACAGATGTGTCCTATATTACATGTGTATATGATCCACCAGTTCATGTGGTTGCATTTTTTTTTTCTGGCCGGTTGTGGGGCTTGAACTCTGGGCTTGGGTGCTATCCTTGAGCTCAAAGAGAGTGCTCTACCACTTGAGCCACAGCCACTTCTGGTTTTCTAGTGGTTAAAAGAGATAAGAATCTGATGGACTTGCCTGCCTGGGCTGGCTTTGAAACTGATCCTTTGATCTCAGCCTCCTGAGTAGCTAGGATTACAGGTGTGAGCCACCAACACCCGACTGGTTACTTTTTTTTTTTTAATGTTGTTTAAGTCTGTTGAGATATTGTGTTAAATATGTTTATTTTTAGGTTGTTTGGTTTGAACCCAATTGAACAATATAATGAAATTCTAGTACTTTTTTCTTTTGCTTGTTTTTTTTTTTTTTTTTGGCGAGTCCTGGGGGCTTGAACTC